GAGGGATGACAATATGCCAATCACCACATACTATGTGTTTACATCCCATTTAAGCTCACCCATTTTACAAATGAGGAAATGGAAGTTGACTTGCCCAAGGTCACAGAGCTAAGTAATTGGTAGAGCTGGAATTTGTACCTCCAGGTACTCCAGTTCCAACTCCAGTGCTGTCTCCACTACAACCATGGAACTAAGAGGAATTATTCAGAGCAGACTCCCAGCCCCCTCTTGTATGAAAAGTAAAGAACTTCTGGGACTCAGGGCTTGGACAGAGGAGGCATGCTGTTATGTCCACACCCTATGTCCTGCTGGAAGGAGCTGAGCTGTGGTTAGTGCTCTCACCCTTCTTAGAGGACTCATCCAAAAGAGCCTCCTGCCTGGGTGGTCCAGGGCTGCTTCTCTCCAGACTACAGTCCTCCCTGTTCTCTTGGTAGACTCATTATAAGACCAGGTGGCACTTGCTTCCAGGGCTGAGTGCAGCTGTTACAAGGGACAGGAAGCCTGGGCCAGTGCAGAGGATGTGGGCAATGAGTGGAATGTGTCTCTTAGAGCCATCCACCCACATCAAGGTGACATGGAGGTGTCCTGTGGTGACAGCTTATCATGGCATAGGAGGGCCTCCCAGGAACCATGCACTTGCGCCCAGGGTGAGAGAGGTGTCAGAGAGCCTCCACCCCACGGTCTAGGCCTCTATTCATGTGACAATCTGAGAGGTGTGCCCAGCCTTCTCTGGGGAGTTGTCCCACCCTGTCCCTCCCACACCAGAGATCCGGGGTGGAGAATGGAAAGATACACAGAGCCAGATGGCAGACCCTGTGAGGTCACAGCTTGGAGGATTCTGCCTGACTTTGGAAAGCAGCTTTTAAAACCAAACAGCCTCGACTCAAAATGTCCAGCCCCACCACTTAGCAGCTGTCTAGTTTCCGAATCATACTTAACTTGGCCTTTGTTTTCCCATCTTTAAAATAGGGGTAATAACAATGCCTGCTTCACAGGGTTATTTTGCTTACAGGAGATAATACACATCAGGTGTTTAGTATAGCATCTGGCACATAGCAAACATTCAGCAAATGCTAGCTATTATCATCATCATCATCATTACTAGGAGCTCTCCACATCCACCTCCCAATGTCCTCCAATTACATTGAGATAAAGACTAAGCAATTATGGGAAACAATGGCCTTTGGGAATCTAACCAAGCCCCAGAGGCAGCTGGATTGACAGCTAGGCCGTAATTGGCTCCTTCTCCAAAGAGACATCATCCTCCCCACCCCAACAAACTCACCCCACCCTCCCCTTCTTCCCCAGGGAAATTCCATGGAAATTCAGCAGTCAACAGAGTTAACAAAGCCAGCAAATTTGGCTGGTACCTGGAGAAGCCTGGAATCCAAGGACTGTAGGAAGATATCACCAGAAACTCCTCCCCTGCACACACACATCTCCCTGGAGATCCTGGACCAGTTGGGAAGCCCCACCACCCTCTTCCATGATTTTTGTAGCCTCTGTAGATGTTCTGAATTCTCTGGGTGGTGCAAACGGTTAACAAGCTTGGCTACTAACTGCAAGGTTGGAGGTTCGAGTCCACGCAGAAGCACCTCAGAAGAAAGTCCTGGAAATCTACTTCTGAAAAACCAGCCATTGAAAACCCTATGGAACA